CCTCCCCCCCCCGGCCCCCCCCCCCCCACCCCATCCCCATCCCCATTTCCCTCCCCATCCCCCTCCTTCTCCCCACTTACCCCATCAGAGCCAAACAAACGATTAATTAATAATCAATTTATTAATGTCAGAATAATGCATTTTTAATTATTAATTCAATATCTCCTATTGCATTAATAAGTATGTTTATTCCGATGTCCTATGAAATTCATAATAATTTATTATTAAACGTATGATTACATATATCGCCGTGATTTTATTATCAGTTAGTAACAAATTAATTATCGTCGCTACGTAGACGCGAGTGTCGAGCGCGAAGTGCCATGTTAAACAATCGCAAAATTCAAATTCTAACAGTCGGGCTGTATCCACCTGGAGAAATATAATGCCGCGTCCTCGAATAATAGTAATAGTCCTCGAACAAAATAAACGAGATATCTCTTATGATCCTCGCATGCAGCCTGTATTACGTAAGCGAACGAAAAAGCAAATAAGCCTAACAATTGCTAACCACCGAATCTCGGGCTTTTAATTCCAGATTGGGATCTCATGCAGCTTACCGATATGGATCATCTGAGGCTCGGATTGGACTTTGGCGAGACTCACGGAGCTTTTGACGGCCTCCTCAATCCGAAACGACCATCCAGCAAAACCAAAAACCGTCCTGCCGAGAAGCCCGGGGCCGACAAATCTTTTCCCTGCCCCAATTGCTCGAGCGTCTACAATCGCCATGACAATCTCACTCAGCATCTCAAATACGTCTGCTTCCAAAAGCCGAGGTTCGCCTGTCCGTACTGCAACTACATCACCAAACGTACCTACAACGTCTATGGACATGTTCGCAGCAAACATCCCTGCGCGTTGGTCGCTTACATTGACGTTGAGGACTCGAACAATCTTGTGACACCTCAGAATGGTCGCTGAGATGGCACACAGTCAATATGGTTTTCTTCACCTGTCATTCGCTACAATATAGGGCAAAGCAGTGTAACTTTTGTATGGCAGAAGTACATACATAGGTACAGGTGTTAAAAAAAAAAAAAAAAAAAAAAAAAAAAAAAAAAAAAGCCTGATTACCATTAAAGAGACACAACAATATTCAAAAATATCGTGCAAACGTCACTATTTGAAGTAGACATTTCGAACAATACAAATATTGTAAAGATATTTACAAGGATTTTATAAAATGAAAAGAAAAGAGCAAACAAAACAAAAAAAAATAGAAAAAAAAAAAAATAAATAAATAAAAAATAAATTACCCATCAATTTTAATACTCTGCAAAATAATGTTCGCCCTTGTATATTTCATATAATATATACAAAAGTTTCATATGACAAAACTTTATTAATATTGCAATTTGTTTCAATATCTAATGTTACCAAACTATTTTACAATTTCTCTGAGAACGTCATTGATTCATTATTGTTACATCGTGTTAAAAAAAAAAAAAAAAAAAAAAAAAAAAAAAAAAAAAAACTCCAGTTAAAAGTTCTTACGAGATAATAATCTATGCATAGACGCGCTCGCGCACACATCAGTTACTTAATTCAATTGCTAATGATTCTAATTCATTTATATTACGTATATGTTTAGTAATAATACATGCTCAATTCTAAGTAAGAAAATGATCCCGACCGCGCTTACAATATAGTTTCTACTTTGAATTATTAATTCTTTATTTTATTCTTTAATACGCAGCCAAAGAGCTTTTGTTTAAAAACAAAAGAATCGTCTACCCAATTAGAATGATAATATTATTCCTATCGAGTGTGAATTGAAAAAAAGTTTGAAACACATCAGATCAGTTTTAAATCGTAAATAATTCAGAAGCTGCGACCCATCATTTATTATATTCTCTCATAATTCTCTCATACATCATTAATATTATTTATAAAATCATCTTATTTTTATCAGGCAAATAACACAATACAGCTTAAGTTACCTTATATTAAGTTATGCTTGACAAAATTGGTTAATTATGTTTATAGACTGATTTTCCTATTTTCAATTCTCATTATATTTTATTTGCCATTTTAGGTTGTATTACGATTGCTCTATTACAATAATTAAAATCGCTTATAATAAATTCGGCCTTCTTCCATGAGTGCTCCATTAACTTATTAATCATAAAGAATTTAC